CGCATCCCACTCTCCGCCCGCAGCCCGCGGAAGCCTCACCGCCCACCAGCGCGCAGGGCCCGGGCCGTTCCGGGGAGCAGAGGGCCCGGCACGTAGGGGGCGCACAGGAACCAACTGCGGTGGAGGAACAGGATGGGGAGAAAGAAGGCGAGGAGGGGGCGCGGCTGGGGCGGAAGGCGCGGGCGCGATGCGAGCCGGGCACCTCCTGGAGGCCTCGCCGGCTGCCCGATCCGGCTTCCCAAGTCCGCTAACTCCCGGGACCGGCCCGGGCTGGGTCGAGGCGCCAACAAAACGGCTACGCGGGGAGGAAATCGCCCTCGATGGGCTGGAAGCGGTGCCCGGGCGCCCCCGTCGCCGCCGACCCCCGGGCCCTCTGATGGGTGCTGACCTACCGAGCCCTCGCCACGTACCCTTCCTGGCCAGCCTCGATCCCACACGTATCCCGGGATATCTCTGTGCATCCGACCACCTCTGCTCACCGTCCAGCAAAGAATTTCATCCCCACCTGACCCCTTATTAGGAATAGATTCTAATTGTAGCTCAAGACCGGTGTGTTTATCCTCAGCCAAACACCCGACTCCCCGCCCTGCCTGCAGTCACTCAGCAACCTACAGACGGACTCACCACCGCGGCCGCCCGAGATGACACCAGGAGCCTCGCTCGCCGTGCGCCTCCTGGAGACACGGGACGCAGCTCGTTCCCCACACCCCGGCACACAGGAGAAGCCAACAACTCAAAGTCACCAAGACGCGTCTTTCTAGGCTTTGAAAACCTCTGCGCAAGCCTGTGGCAGGGACATATTCAACTGAAATTTGGGTTTATTTATTAAAAAAGAATGGGGCGGGGGGAGAGGCAACTAAATGGTAAACTTATCTTAAAATAAGTCTTTGTGTAGCCCTCGAACTGACTCCAAATGCTGGTCGTTCAACCCCCAAACATCTCTGCCCGCCTGTATGTCTGGAACTCACGCCAAGTCCTGACCCCACAAAGCGATAGCTGTATGGGACACACCGTCCACACCTGCCCACCCCCTATTTTCAGGGAAACCTGTGTCGATCTCCTCCTCGACCCGCCCCCTGGAGAGTAGCAACTTGTGTATAGACGTTCCCAACGCCACTGCAGGGGGGTGGGGGCGCGGTAATTTAAAGAGCAAAGTTGGTGGGGGGAGAGAACACAATTTCTTTTGAAACCTCATAAAGCATTCTGTTCTGTGCCTGTCCCGGCCTGAAGAGCATCCCTGTCTCTCACACTTGCCAAATGCTGACACCAAATTTAAAACACCTTTCCTTCAAAACTGATAGGATTGTAAAGAGATATCAAGGGCAATGAACTTTTCAGGTGGGAGTTTTTCCCCAGGTACATTACAAGGTCTGAACAGAGCAAGAAAGCATCTTGTGGCTGAGATGCTAAAACTACAGAGGTTGCAAAACCTCATTCTGGGGCTGAAAACTATGAATAGTGGGTGTATTTCCTCCTGCGGTGCACAACAAGAACAACCAAAAAGAAAGCAACAGGGGGAGATATTACATATTTTAATGACACCAAAAACACCAGTTATGGCAATTTACTAAATAAAAATCACAGTCCTTTAAATTTATTTAATGGTTTGTGTACTTGGTGTTAAACTTCTGGTAAAATTTATGGAAGACAGTAAAGGATGTTACTGTGCAATTTTTTTATTTTAAAAGATATAACAAATAAACAACATGTTTTGATGTACCTACAATATTTGTATTTCTTAGCTTAGTTCCTTCTATTACGTAAAACAGTGCATTTCTTGTGTTTTTTTTTTTTTAAAGAACATTAAATGTCAGTTTTGGATAACTCTATTATGGTAATTTCCGGATTTACTTTTAAACAATCTCTTCCTAATCTTACTCAACTAAGAAGTAACAGACTATTTTAAGAATAAATTGAAAGGTTTCTTCTTCTTGCTGGTGTAAAAGTTAGTAAACTCCAATTAATTCACCCCAATTAAATGCCTACGGAAATGACTGCACAATTTCCAGAAACCCTCCCCAAATGCCTTCCAATTATTCGCCTGACTTTAGTTCTAATTCCTCTGTAGAAATCAAACCAAATCAAACACAGCGAGGGAAGAAAAAATATTTCAAAAAGTGATTTTAACTAACTGGTTATTTCAGCAAAGAGCGTTAGCAGTGAGGAAGCCGTGACACTGCAGCGGGGGGAAAGATGAATTTTGTTCTTGGTGTTTGTGATCCTTCCTAGAAAACAGACGCCACAGGAGTGGTTTATAGAACTGCGTTATCTCGGATTTTCTTGGCAGGTTTTGACTCGGCTTAGTATCAGGGTTCCATCAGAGCGCTGACATAGGTGGATCCACCTGCACAGGTAGGAAACGTGGTTTAGGGGTGGGCGAGCCCCGTTGCTGCTGGAGGATGCTTCAAGGAGGGAAGGGGTTAAGTCAGATCCTGTCTTTAGCGGTTCAACTTGTCCAGTTTTGTCTGTGAAGTCAACGTCGCCCAGCTGGAGCCAGCCAATGGACGGCCGGGAGCCCCGGGACAGCCCAGGGAAGGGGCGTGGCCCGAGGCTGTCACTCAGCGCTGAGGAATGACACCCGGGCGGGAGGGGGCTACGGTGGAACGCAGGGGAAGGGAAGGGAGAAGAAACAGATAAAACCGGGGCAGGGGGTAAAAAGGTGCCCCGCGCCTCTTGGAATCCAGCGGCCTCCGCCACCGCTGCCGCCGCCGGGGGTGGGCTCCGGAAGAGTCAGGCCAGCGAGGAAGGGAGAGGACGAGCCGGAGCACCATCCTGCAGGCGGGGAAGAGACAGAAGCGCCAAGAAAAAGTGACGAGGGCAGTGCGCCCCCGCGGCGCTCCGGAGGGGACCGCGGTGCGGAGGAGCCCCCGCCAGTCCTCCCCCACGGTCGGCGAGGAGGCAGACCCCGGCCCGCCCCTATGGGCGAGAAGCGATGAGATAATCCAGCTGAGCTTCGAAAGGAGAGCGTCTGGCGCTGGATCCGGGGGGCGGGGGTCTCCAGGAGGGGTGGGCCTCGGAGGTGGGGGTGAGGGTCGGCGCAGATCCCGGGCCGGAGGGGGCGGGGGCTGCCGGGCCGCGCAGCAGTGGGTTGCTCCGACCTCGCACAGCCGGCTCACTTGCGCTGCGGCCGCCCGCGCTCTCTTCCCGGCCCCGAGCTGCCCAGCGCCCCGGCTGCCCGCCAGTCCGCCGCTCCG